GTCTGGCAGGTAGATATGACTTCACCACAATGTCTGCACCGTGGGGACTGTGGGTTTTTTGTGCCTCTTTTGTCCTGTTCTATGTCTGGTCTGTGCCTTGTGCATGGGAGGTTCTCAATTGACGCATGTTGATGACTGAAGGATTGAATGCAACCCAGAAAGCAGGCACCTTGACTTTAAAAGACCTCCTGGGTCCACAAGAGTCCTGTGTTTGGTGAAGTGGACATCTGCCTTCTCCTTGGCTCTCCCCATCTTGCTCTCTCATGGTTCCTGAAGGACTCTGATTCAGACATGCATTTCTCCAGCTTGAACCACTTTCCAGTCCAACACTGCTGACTCAGGATGTTCCCAGGATTTCAGTCTCACACCCTGCACTGACACTGATGCCCTGTACCTCTGGGTCTGAATTCCTGTTTTCAGTTTTATTGCCTGTCTTAGTTTTCTATGGCTGATGCAACAAATCACCACAAATGTGGTGGCTTAATGTAACACAAATTTATTATCTGGAGGTCAGAAACCTGAAATGAGCATTAAAGGCTTAAAATCAAAGTGTCAGCCAAGGTGTCTGTGTTCCTTTCTGGAGTCTACAGGGGACAATCCATTTTTCATCTTCTCCAGTTTGAGAGGCGACCAGCATTCCTTGGCCTGTGGCCGTATCTCTCCACTTTCTGCTTCCATCACCCCATGGTCTGCTTCCAACACCACTGACTCTGATCTTCCTGCATCCCTCTTACTAGGACCTTAATATTGGGCCCACCTGGATAACCCAGGACAATGTGCACATCTCAGCATCCTTAAATTTACCACATCTGCAAAGTCCCTTCTACTCTGTAAGACAACACATTTGCCGGTTTAGAGACAAGGATGTGGACATCTTTGGGGGTGAGGGGACATGATTCTGTCTACTGCACAGCCCCACCCCATGGCTGGCACAGAGGATCTCCTGAGGTGTCTAAACAATATGGCGGGTGTGGTATGACCATGAAGAAGGCTCCTTTTTGGTGTCTGTTCCCCATGGACTCTGGGCTATCCATAGAGCCCACGAGGATGGAAGGGATCTTGTGTCAGTGCTATTGGGTGTGACTGGAAAGGTTCTTTCAGAGGTGCCCACTGGAAACCACAGTGCCATTTACTGGATGTTGTGGTTCTAGGATATTGCCCCACTAATCTGATCACAGGCCTTAGAGTGAGTCCTAAAGAGCTAACAACAACAACAAAAATCTCTAAGGTTGAATACCTGTAGTGGCCTTCAGAGTCTTTATCTTCAGCCCCCACTGCTTGGAATTATCTTTGAACAGAAGCCACTGTGGAGAATGGGAGAGTATCTGTGACCAGGGACGGCTGACTGAATGATGCAGTATAGGATTCTGAGCAGTGCAAGAAAATAAGGCACTCGGGGAGGTCTCAGCCTCTCCTCCACCTTACTTTGCAGCAACTTACAGGTCGTCCTGCCACAACCCTCAATACGAGCCCGGATAGGTTTGGTCCCCTGTCAAACCACAGGATGTGGCACTGGTCCTCTGCTGATGCTCAGGCCCTAGGGCAGACCCATCTGTGCAGACCCGAGGCTGTCCTGGCACGGGCATGCTGGCGGGCAAATGCTGATACCACTTCAAAGAACCGCCCTTCCAGGTGCTGAGGGCGGCTTTTCTGACGCTCATGCGGTGTCATTGTTTATTTTCCCAAGGCACCCAGCTGTTGTGGTGATGATATTTATATCAATAAGTGCTCTATTCATCTGCCGATTTTAGGGGACGCTTGCCAGCAGCATATGGCAGCCAACCCCACAGCACTTCTGAGCCTGATGTTTTTGCATTTAGGGAAATCAATTCTCAAAGGCTGTACCAACATCTGGGGCTGAGAAACCTGTTTATCCAAGACCCACCCTGGAAGGGGGAGCTAGAGCCAATGACCTTGACCCCTGCTTCTCTCCATGTCTCAAAGTGAGGTTCTTGGAGACTCCTCCTCCGTGCCTGAGCTCTGGTTTTGCAAAAAGGGATTCTGGAAAAGGTGAACGGCAAACAGGCTTTCACAGCCTCTACTTCACCCAGGGGCTCGTGGAGCAGAGTTCATGGTTTTACTTTTTTAGGCAAAGGAACAGGACGGCTGTGCCTTCTGAGTCTGGAACTCCACAGCGGTCTTTGTTTTACGGGAATCCATTTAATTTCATGGTTATCTCGGATTCCAGTCATCTACCGTTTGAGCCCCAAATCTTGGAGTCACCTTTTTTCTCTCACACTCCCTATTCAGTCTATCAGGTATTTGGTCGGGATATATCCGGAATCCACTCCATTGCTAGCCCCGGGTTCAAGCAGCCATCACTTGTCACCTGGGATGACTGCAGAAGCTTCCTCCTCTCCGTCCTCTCTGCTCGCTCCCTTAGCAAACACCCTCCCCCACTTCCTGCACCAACAGTCTGTTCTCAACACAGTAGGCAGAGGGATGATTTAAAAAAAAAAAAAGTCAAAGTGTGTCATTCCTCTCCTCAAAAACTTGTCAGTGGCTCCCTTCTTCTCTCAGAGTAAAACCTCAAGTTCTTCCTATGACCCCCAAGGCCCTCCATGACCTGGTCCTGCCATGTCTCTGGGTCACCTGCTGCTGTTGTTCCCACTTCCACTGTGTTCCAGTCACAGTGGCCTCTGTGCTGTTCCTGAAACGTGCCAGGCACGAACCCGCCATAAAGTGTTGGTGTGGTTTGTCCTTTCTCCCCGTGATGCTCTTCCTGGAGATGGTCACACGGCTCGTTCTCTCACTTCCTTCGAAAGTAAGCTTCTACGTGACCTCCTCAATAGGGCCTGCCTTGATCCCTCTATCACAATTGTATTCCGGGCCCCAAACCCGCCTTCCAATCTTCCTTACCCCGCCCTCATAGTTTTTTCCATATACTCATCACCTTCTAACATATAATTAAAGTACATTATAGGGTGTTTGTTATTGACTGTCTCCTCCACTTTAGAACAGAAGTTGCAGCAGAGATGGGAGTCTGCTGTTTTGCTTGCTCTTATTCACAATGCGTTCCAAACACCTAGAATAGCTCCTGGTGGGTAACAGATACTCCACAAATATGGCTGAAGAACAAGCGCATCGGTCCCGCACATCTCTCCCTCGAGCGTCCCACTGGGCACTCCAGCTCCCCCCACCCCGCCTCCTCCCGCCTACCCCCAGACGCCTGACTACCCAGACCTGGGCCCCTGCCACCATCCGCACCTTCTCCTTCTCCTTCACCTCCTGCATCCAACTGCTCCCCAAAACCGTGGACTTGGATCTGGAAGCCCAGCTCCTACCTCCCAGCCCCACCGTCCCGCCTGCCAGCCATCTCCTCAGTTCAGACCCCCACCTCTCTTTTCTGGGCATTTGCAACATCCTCCTCCGCTGTCTCCTGGCTGGCAGGTTTCCCTGCAGCTTCTCCTCCTCACTGGTCCCCAGATGCGGCTTTCTAATGGGAACTCAGCCACACCTCGGCTTACACGCTGCCGTCTCTCTCCTCCTTGGACTGCGAGTGCTGTCTCACAGTGCTCCTAGGAAGCCTGGGGGTTCACAAAGCCACCCAGAGTCCTGACTCTCCAAGAGGCATTGGGGGGGGCAGAAGACCAGTCTGGAGGGAGCTTAACCCCCACCCCAGGTGGCTTCACCATGAGCAGCTCTTGATCAGACCTGTTCCCTATACGGCGCCTGCATGAGAGCTTTATTCGAAGAAAGGGTTCTGCTGCTTACAAAGTAAGCGTCTGACACCTACCGTGCTGCAGGTCAAGGCCCAAACTCTGTAGCGCACATGGGCAGCCCCGTGCAAGCAGCACCCTGCTGCATTTTCCAGCCTCACCCCCTCCTCTGCTCCCGAGAGGCCCCAGCCCCAGCCCCACTGCAACCCCAGCTCTTCTGCAAACAAGCCACACACATTCACACCACCTTGCCTTTGCCCTCCTGTTCCCTCTGCTCTGAGGGCCTTTTCCCAGCTCCCTCAGCCCCACACCCCCAAACTTCTGCTGCCTTCTTCAAGGCCAAAGTCACCTTCTTTTTGAAGTCTTCTCTCACCCTCTGAGCAGAATTAATTGCTCCCTGTTCCCAGCCAGCACAGCACTTCGCAGCTGACCTCTATTACAGCACTGCCACACGAGGTTGGGACAATTTGCTCATCTGTCTCTGTAGCAAGACTGTGAGCTCCTGCAGGGCTGAGACCACAGCTCAGATCCATTTTATTTTATTCCCACACAAGGCCAGCACGCACACAGGAGTGCACTGAGGTACCCTGAGTTTCTTTCAAGACACCACTTTTCAAACACCCAAAAGGACATTCCCACTTTTCCCACCCAGGAATGGCTGTCCTGCCATGGAGGGGGCGCAGGCGCCAGCAGCTTTCCCATGACACGTGTCCCGAGTACCGGGATGTGCTGTAGGCACATGATGCTCGGAGCTATCACACCCTGGGGGGGCTAAGGCATGAAGCCTGCCTGGACACAAGGGTCCTCTGATGACGCCAGGATCCTCGGGTTGGCTAGTGGGCAAAGGGCCCAAGGTTCAAGCTCCAGCTCTGTTGGTGTGGGCTGCATCTCCGAGGGGGCAGGCTGGGTGGGGGTGTGGCCAGGCCTCAGGTTCTTCTGCAGGGTTGGAGATGCTCAGAGCTGGGGAGGCTCTCTGAGCCCCTGGGCTCAGTGTGCTCAGTGGGATTTGGAGCAAGACCCTCATCAGTGCCTGGGGGATGAAGCAACAGAATCTGGCCCCAGACTGGGGAGGAGGGCTGGGCAAAGCCCACAAGCAGGGAGAGTCATTGCTGGAAGTGAGAGGGTGCAGGGTCAGGGGTGGCAGGGTCTGGCAAGAGACCCCCAGCCTCTGCTGGCAGCAGGACGGGCTAGTCTGGTGCTGGCAGCCAGCCAGTGCCCACGTGCAGGCAGCTCGGTTAGGTGGAGGAAGCACTATACTGACCCTCACGTTCTCCCTCCAACTCTCGGGCATGGCCGCCTGAATGCACCCGAGCACCTGTGTGGTGGCCGGGCCCCTCCTACCTGGGCAGTGTCCATCTCATTCAGCATCACCACGGAGGAGCAGTTGTAGTCGAACACCAGCCTCCAGAAGTCTGCCACGGTGTTGGGTAGAGGGTGCTGGGTGACCACGAAGGCAGCAGGCTGCTTGTGGCTCTGACAAAGGAATGACACAGGCTTCGTGAAGGACACACCCAGCAGTGATATTCTGATGGGGAGGAGGCTTGCATGGCTGCCAGAGGCCCGTGAGCCTGCTGAACAGATTGCACAAGACACCTACCTGTTCTGTCATCTGTGGGTGCCCCCAGTGGCCAAGGGGGCCTTTCTCATAACGAACTCATTCTCCTCTAAACTAAGACATTTCATGAGCAAAGTGTCACTCGGCTGGGGATTATCCAAATAAATTATTTATGTTTAGAGCTCAGCAAATAATCATTATTACAATATGAAATGAAAGATTCTGGATGCAGATTTGCTGCTTTGCTGCCCAAAGCACCTCCTGGGACACTGGGGATATCTGTGTTTCTGTGCCCACAATGCTGGAGGAGGGGATGGCTCGGCCCAAGGCAGAGAGCCTCCTGAAGGGGCTTCTGTTGCAGGAGGCTCGCTCCCGCTCCAAGGCCAGAACGAGGGCGGAGGTGGCTTGTCAGAAGGTGGGCATGGTATGCTGTGAGGCAATGGGCAGTGGAAGGTGCTCAGGTTTTAGCGTCAGGCAGACCTGGGGTTCAAATCCAGCCTTCTGACTTGTAGGTTATCAGTCATCCACCCGCCCATCCATCCATCCATCCACCCATCCATCCGAGCATCATTTGTAGAGTGCTAAGTGCTCATCTGTCTCTGTAGCAAGACTGTGGTGCTAAGCCCTGGCAAGTTATTAGATCTTTCTAATCTGGAAAATGGGAATCACAACTCCCATTCTGGGATGGTTGTCATGCAGAGTGAATGAGATTTGTATTTGAAAAGACCAGGACACATGAACGGGGCTCTGAGCCCACTGGCAGGACAGAAACATCCCTGACGTGGTTCTTCATCCTTGGCACTGGTGGTGTGGCTGACACATGAGACCCTCAGTACAGGTCCAGCAAACAAATGAATATACTCAGTTCCATGTTACAGACGGGGAAAGTGAGGCCCACAGAAAAGAGCTTGAGAGAGTCTGGGCTATGTGGGAAGCTTTGGCGGGGCCCTATTTACTAGAGTATCTTGTGAGAAGGTGTTTGGAAAGATTGGAGGCCTTCTCCTTTAGTGGCCCATGAAACCGGAGATTGTCCACAGCCTATCTTCTTAACAAGCTTTCTTGAGAGACAGGCCCTGTGGCAGCAGGAAGATGGGGAGTAAAGAGAGGCTTGCCCATCCAGACCAGGGGAAGAGCCGGACAAAAGACCCTGCCAACCGTATTACATAAATGATTTCTTGATGCCTTGTGACTGTGGATGTCATGCAGACACCAGGGTCCCGTCTTCCAAGGGCCTTCTCCTGGCCAGTGCAATGGTCAAAGGGTGGGGGGCAGAATATTTAGTTTCTCCAAAACCCAAACTCCAGCTGCAGATAGCAGGTCTCTGAGCCATTTCCAGACACGGAAAAGAATCTAGATTTTAAGAGTCCAAAGACAGAATCCAGACCCCGGGCTTCACCCTTTCTGAGCTAGTCAACCTGGAGACAGTCACACAAATACTCTGAGCCTCAGTATTTCATCTGGAAAGCGGGGACAATAATACCCAAATACAGAATGAGTCAGGATAAGTCCCAGGTCCCGACATGGTGCCCAACACTCAGTGAATGTTAGTTCTCTTTCCTTTCTCTCTGTCTCTGTGATAAATGCTCTATTAGACCAGCATGCCTGACAAAGCCTTATCTGAAAATATGTTCGAGATCCACGCTCCTGCCGGGTTTCAGGGATCAGCCGGCAATCCATTTCATGGATAACATCATCCTTTACCAGGGGAAACATTAAAAATTAGCCCAGAGGACTTCATATTTTTCTGCTAGGAGCAAAGCTGCTATGGTTACCAGATAATGCACAGACTGAACTGGAATACAGATAAGGACCTTTTTTTTTTTTTTTTTTTTTTTTTTTGTAAGAAAGGCAAAGGCCTCGTGACGGCTCACAGGAGAAATGCCCTGTGGACAAAGAGAACACAATCAGCATCAGAGCTTGGCAGAAGGCATTTGGCTCCAGGCAGCATCTAATCTACTAAGTAGAGGCCAGAAGCATGTTTGATCCTTGCATAGATGAGGAAGCCAGGGAGAGAGAGTTGGGACAAGTGGGAGAAAAAGCCATGAGGAACTTGGAAGTGTGATTACACCCCCAGGCCCCATCTCTTGTCCCCCTCCACATGTGCACGCGCGCACACACACACACACACACACACGCACACACACGCACACATACACGTACAAGCACACATTGATCTTGGAGGACTCTAAGCTAAAGCCAGAGGTTTCCCTTCCACATCTAGCTATTTGATCTGACCAGGACAAAGCTCCCGCTTTGGGACCCATAGGAGGGAGTCCATGGAGGACTCCCCCTGTGGACAGAGGCCAGGGCAGTCCCCGACAGAGCTGATAGGCATTGATCTCCCATCACTTCCCTGCCTCCAACACCAAGGGCCCTTGGGGAGATTTTCAGGAGGATCAGAGGTCAGAGAAGTAGTTGGCTTTGACCCCAAGAGAGGGCATTGCACATTCCTGCCTGTTCTGGGGGAGATGGGAAGTCCATGTGGGCTGGATGGACGTGACCTTGGACATGAGCGGGGAGGGGAACCTGGAAGAGCTTATTTCCAATCAGGCAATGGTATTCTTGGTCCTGAGCCTCGGGAGGCGAGATGTCTGTATTTTCTTGGATTGCACAAACTGTGGGGAGTCCCATGAAATGAATTCTAGAGTGTGAGTTCTGTGTTCTGGCTCTGCCACTAGCTTTCTGGGGGTGACCTTGAGCAAGTCTCTTCCTCTTTCTGACCTCAGTTTCCTTTGCTAAAAAGTACAAGGATGAGACCAGATGATCCATGGCTCCTTTCTGCTGCAAACATCTCTATATTCAGGAGGTGGAGGGATGACCACAGGAAGGAGGTGAAGGACCCAGTGGGGAAGCCTATGAGTCAGGAGCAAGGACTCACTGGGGCAAGGACATGACCTCCTCATTGGGGTCATGACTCCTAAACCAGGTCAGGGTGGGAGTGCCCTTCTTGGACTTGATGCTGAGAAAGCAGGAGACAGTACCCCTGATGGAATAGTCAGGAACATGGCCTGTCCCCTTCTATGCCCCCTTTGCCACATCCCATCACTTGTCCAGTAGCCACTTACTGATCACTTACTACCTGCCAGTCTCATTCTTGCCTCTGCACAGGGGTTATCTGGGAACCTGCCTGGGAGCTCCCCGAGGGCAGAACCCATGTCTGTACCATCTTGCATTCCCAGGGCTCAGGCCAAGGCCTGGCATATAGAATGTTTCCTGAACTGAACAGAAGGCTGAGAGTCAGCTCTATAGGCAGTGGGAGGGGGTACTGGGCAGGCCTGTGCCATGCTGTCATGGACACATACTTTATGCTTTTGGTCCATTCTTTCCAAGCTTATGGGAGCAAAGAGCCAAGAACACAGCTTGTACATAGGTTTGGACCAGAGCCTTCAGGGGGAGCAACGGTCCTTGGGGCCAGAAGATGAGAAGCAAGGAGAGGCTGTCTGGGGGTGGTGGTGTGGGGTGTCAGTGCCCTGGGCTCCAGCCATCTCCACCTCGAAGAGACTTCCCAGTGAGTGCCAGCCAGGGCTCAGCTTACGTCCATCAGAGCGGCATTGACGTAGTTGCTGGGTTCCCCATCCACCGAGATAAGGAAGGGCAGGCAGCGGTCTAGAGGCAGGACATCCATGCTCCGGTTCTTATCGTGATTCCGGGGCAGAAGCCCAATGCTGCAGTCCTCGGGCCGGACTCGGGGAGTCACGATGTTGAGGGTCTGTAGGGCGCAAAGACAGATAGGTAGGCACTGCTTAGGCGGTTGCCTCAAACAGAGCAGACAGCGAGGTTCAAACTCAGCCTACCCCATCCTATCTCCGTCCTCCAAGCTTGGCCCTCCAGGCCCCGCACCCCCACCCCCAGGACTTGTTCTTCTCCTGTGTGATATGCCGCCATCTCCTGTTGGCTGCTCCATGCCCTGGGAGCTGAGAGCCCCTGTCAGGGCTGTGTGACACCCCCATGATGCCAAGGCCGCAGGGCGGCACGCCCACGTGCAGAGCAGAAACAGGCTGCCAACACCTGTCAACCTGCTCATCTCTGTAAAGGGTGGGCCAGCCAGGAGGTGAGAGGGTGGGGGTGGGGGTGGGGCTGGGGAATCTCTAATGAGTGTTACGTATCCCTTCAAGTGTTGTGGAAGGAGGGAAAGGATTTCCCCAATGCTCCTCTCAGAGAAAGTGGTTTTTGGAACGAGCTGCTCAGGATGGGTGAGAGATCCCCAGGGGGGCAAGATCTAGGCATCTGGAAAATTTCAGGGCTGTGTTCTGCAGATTGAGTCTTGCAAGTGTGGGGCCAGAGCTGAATTGTCCAGCCAGAAGACCAGATGCTCTGTGCACCCAGGAGGGGCCTGTGGCCTCCATCTTTCCTCCATTCTGCACTTGGTCTCCTGTCCCAATCAATAAAGCTTCCGTTTAAGGGAGCATGGGGGAACTGGCCTGGCTGGGGTATCTGCCCGTGGAATCATGGGCCGAGCACTTGCCCCTCAATTCCTGAAACTTCCTTGCTTCCTGCTGCCTGGTTCTCAACTCCTGTTGCCCAGGGATGACCCTGGCACGGACCTCAGGACAACAGGTTGGACTCTTGGCTTACTCAGTGATACATGTCCAGACCTCCAGACCAAAGGTGCCACCATTTTGGCCACATGGGCTGCAAGGTGCAGATCTGCCATGCCTGAGCTGAGCTGAGCTCTGGGATGGTGCTTCTCAAAGTTTAATGTGCAGACAAATCATCTGGAGATCTTGTTAGACTGCACATTCTAGATATGGGTGGGACCCAGGATTCTACATTCCTGATGAACTCCCAGGTGAAGGTGATGGTGCTGGTCTCCAGACCCCACTTTGAGTAGTGAGGATCTAGGACCAATACACTCCAATTGTACAGAAATGGCAAGAAAATCCGAGTCCCTTTAGGGATGGCGGAGCACGAAACTCACACCTGTGTTTAGAAACTTGGTCCACCCACAACTAGGACTAGACTAGAACTAAGTTAAACACATGATCACAATTAAAAACATGTGTCAGCAGTCACCGAGTGACTGGTTAATAGTTGCTTGTGGCTGTGCATCGAAGGTTCTGGAATTCATTCTGCAGCTGTCCAACGCTGCCGACACTGGAAGCACTAGGCTTACCCAGTCTCACAAAGAAAACCCCCTGAATGTGCTCCGTGCCGCTGAAGTTGGCTGGGTCACCGAGCCCGGGACTTGCCCATACCTGAAATTCGTCTTTGATCTGGCTGGAGTTGGTCTGGGGGTCCAGCCTGCTGATGTTGTAGTAGAGAGAGCGGAACTCACACACGGGGATGGCTGTGTTGCCGCAGAGGCATGCTTCCAGGATGGCGTCGTGCACGAACACATATTGCTCCTGCCAAGCAACAGAGAGAAGAGATAGGGTTCTGGGTGAGAAGAAGAGTGGCCTGGGTGTGTGTCGCCTAAACGTAATCCCATGGTGGTGAAGGATGCGCAGGATTTAGATCGCAGAATCATAGCTTCCTCTCCAAAACCCTGAAGGGCCAAGTTTCCCTGTTTCTTCGTGATCGCCTGAGCAAGGGTGAGACTACACTGTAAGACTCAACAGTGTAGTCACTGATGACAGTTAGAAACTTCTGGAACTGCTGCAGCACGGGCTCTTGGTGCCTGCCTCTGTCAGCTTTCACCTCTACCTTGAAGGCTGCTTACTGCAAGCACCTGAGATTCAGGTTGAGGGATTTCTTCTAGTCCCAGGAGCACACTGGAGCTGGGTGCAGGGCGAGACAGCAGGGCTGAAGAGTCAGCACTCCAGGAAGGAGCCCTCAAGCAGTGTCAGCTGGAGAGCTGGGGCAGAAATACCTAAACTCCTTCTCTCCCAGGTAGGATATTTGGGAGGGCATGTTCCATACTACTTTAGAGCTCCCAGCAGGCTTGGGCTCCAGGTGTCCACAGGGTGAAACAGCTTGCAAAACCCCTTGGCAGTGTCACACAGCCTGGCTTCCTTTCCTTCTCTTTGCTTTCCAACCGGTGAGCCTTGGGATCACCTCAGCAATAAACCACATGCCCTCAGCTCTCCTTGTCTCAGGGTTTGCTCCTGAACTCTGGGCCCCTCTGCCACCTGTGTCCTTTGCACCTGCTGTTCTCTTCCCCTGGAACCCCATGCCCCCTTTGCTATGGCCCCCACTGCTTCATTCCCTCTGGAAAGTCTTCTGCAAATGCACCAGGCGGAAGCTGTTGCTATTGCTCCCAGGCTCTTAACAAACGTTTGTTGAGTGACTGTTCTCTTGCAGAGCTTGGCCCATCTCTACATCAAACACTTATCCAGATGCATCATGATGATCTATCTGAATGTCTGTCTCTGCACCAGACAGCAGGGACCCTGTGTCTAGTGCCAGCCAGTGAGCCTGTCTTCTGAAAGCACAAATCTGGGAACAGAGAAAGCAGCCACTCGTCTTTCCTGCAGCCTCACCAAGTCTAGACGTTTGCCTGCGGGAGTTAGCTCAGAGCCCACAGCGGGCTCCTATGTGCATACGCTTGTAAGTGGGGGGATTCTCTGTGGAGCCAGCAGTGACTGGCCAGGCCCAAAGCCAAAACTTGCCTTTGCAGGATTGATGATGGATGTAGCTCCTTATCTGCCCTAGCTGACTGCCTGGGCACCCACAGGCTTCCCTAGAACCAGATGATGGGCTTGTTATAAGAACAAGCCATGGCTTTGAGGAGTAGGGTAGGCAGAAAAGGCTGCCTAACAAGAGAGTATGGTTCAGGGAAAAGTGCATGGGCCTTGGGGTCACATGGACCCAAGTTCCACCACTGTCCACCTCTGTGAGGACGTGGGGACCCTTTATCTCTAAAATGGGGATACTAGTAGGAGCCACCCCATAGGCTTGTTGCGAGGAGTACAAATAATATCCTGAATATAAAGGACCTAGCATGATGCCTGGCACATAGTAGGTGCTCAACAATAAAGATGAACTCCTCCTATTTCCCTTGGGTCTTGGGCTCTCTACCTGGACAGAGGGATGCCTGAAGGTCTGCTTTTCCCTCAAGGGCGGGGGCTATCTGTTACCTCTTTTGGAATCCCTAGAACCCAGCCCAAGTACTCAATAATTTTGTTGATGAAGTCATTCTGGCAGGGACTGAAGCAATGCTTGGCACACAGTCTTCCCCTTCCACCAAGGCAGGAATACTATTCAAAGAATCCTTGAAAGTTGCCATTCGGTCCCTGCTTGGATGCCCTCAGAGCCGGGAAGCTCACCACCACTCCCCACTGGTGCAAGTGCTTGCCCTGTGGGACCTCAGGGTTGGCAGCAGTGTCTTAGCTTCTACTGTGGGACCACTGTAGCAAGCCATGTATTCCCTCCCTCCCTTCCTCCCACTCCAGGTCTCTTTCTATAGGATGCCCCCACCCATGGGTGTCTGTTCTACCCTGCTTCTCCTTGGCCAGGGCTGCAGCTGGCTGCCCAGCTCAGTCCCCCAGGACTCACCTCTGTCTGCACCAGGTTGACCCTCTGGGCCCGGAGCTCACGCACACAGTTGAATATGTCCACTACCCCTTCGTTCTCGGCCATGTCGAGCATGGTGTCGATGGCGATGAAGCAGCCGGTCCTTCCGGCTCCCGCACTGGAAGAGAGGACAGTGTCTGTATTAGGGACCTCAGGGCGGGACTAGCCCAGGCGAGGCTCCCTGCTCCCCCCAACCACTCAGCCCTGTCCAAGGACCCTGCAAAGAGGCAGCAGGCTGCAGAGAACAAGCCATGGCTTTGTCTGAATCCTAGTGCTGCTGGGAGACTCTGAGCAAGCAAGTGAAATTGGAGCCTCAGCTTTCTCTTCTGTAAAATGGGAGAGCAATGCTTGCATTGGGGGCTATTTTAGCAGAACCTGCTTACTTTTGTTGTCCTCATTTAGCAAGGACTCACTTAATGCTTACAAAGTACTAGACATTGTTCTAAGTGCTTTTACAAACATTACCTATTGGCTCCCTTGTGAGGTCATTGGGAAGTTTCTCACCCCATTTTACAGGCGAGAAAAGCGAGATGCAGAGAGCTGACCTCGCTCAAGGTCACAGAGCCGGCATGCCATGGAGGTGGGACTTTTCAGCCCAGCCATCTGGCTCTCGGGTCTGTGCTCTTAGACATCCACTCCTAATAACAGTCGTAGCACAAAACACATGCTTCGACAACACGTTTGCACACTGTTTCCTCCTCTAGTGGGTGAAGCTAATCCGTCTGTATCGTATAAGGCATGGTGCCCGGCACGCTGGAGATGCCTAATAGACATGTCTTCCCCACTCCCCCTTCTGTCTATTTCCCTTTGTCAGCAAATAGGCTGACGGATGGAAACAAGGAAGGAGAGATGTGGGCAGATGTGGGAAGGCAGATCCTCTGAGCAGGCCCGGAGACAGAGAGTGAGTCCCAGGTCCCATGACGCAAGCCCCAGGTTTGGCTCCATGGGCATCTGTTTTCCCAGGAACGTGAGCCAGGAGCATTCTTCAACTGGAATAGGTGACAGTCCCAAGACCCTGGTCTGGGAGACGTACTGCGATTCTGATACATAGTCAATTCTGATCACTGGTGGCTTCCTTTAGAAAAATCTCAAACCAAGTACAAAATAGCAAAAGAACTCAGCATGACCCATGGACCACGGCCTGTCCTTCCCCCATCAGCACTGGTTTCCAGGCATGGCTCTGAACCAGAGACAAATAGAACACTGGCCTTAAGTGCACGTAGTTTAGAAAGTGAAGGCCAGACTAGCAAGGAGGCCCATGCTGACTGTGTTTTCACATCTTGCTTCCCCTAGGGAAATAAGTGATGGGGCAGGAAGAAAGCAGGACTGGCTGACCATAAATCCAGGCAGGATTGTCACCCACAATGACCTGGAAAACAAACCCATGGGAAGCAGTCTTGGTTCTTAGTAAAATTTCATGGTTTTAAGTGAGTGAAGTTTGACTTGTATTTGTACCTTTCCGCCCCGAATTCAACCCCCCCACCCCCAGAAGGGTCTCAGCAGCCTGGGCCCCGGGGTCTGGGAGGGAGCACAAACAGCCACTCATCGGCATCTTCCTGAAGTGTCCTCCTCCATCTGTGTTAGGGGAAACAAGCATCCTGACCTGGTTTTGAATCTTGGATCCACCATGGGTGAACAACCTGCCTGGTGCCCATAAGCCTCACACATATAACCTGCCTCCCTGCCGGGTTCTCTTGAGGACTTGAGCTGTATTTCAGCCTCACATAACAACTGAGCTTATCATATTTGGGGTCAGACCCCTGGAACCCAAGCCTGGCTTAACCACTTACTAGCTGTGTGACCTTGGGTACATGACTTAACCTTTCTGGGTTTCAGTAACCGCAACCATGAAATGAGGCTGATAATAATAAATAGACCCACCCTGTAGCATTGATAGCACAATACATGTACATTGCACGAAATGATGCCGAAAGAGCCCAGTTCATGTAAATTACCTAGCCCTATGCCTAGCTACGTTGCAATTTCTCAGTAAATGGTAGCTACTTATATTCAACAAGTACTTATTGAGCACCCAGTATGCACTAGATGGTGGGATCGGGGGTGGGATATGAAGATAAGCAGACATGGTTTCTGCTCTGAAGAATTAACAGTCTGGGGAGCGGACCAGTATCAGAGGCAGAGAACGGTAGTGTTTTTAAGTGCTTCTTAGATGTCAGGACTTCTCCGAGGCACCGAGGATATGGCAGCCAGCACATTTCATCTTCAGCATGGTCCCAGGAGTGGGGACCACTGTGCCAGGCGTGTTAGGCAGACTGGCTCTGGAGGAAAGACATAGAGCCGTCGTGCAAGGAGAGCCTAATAAATCGTCTCCCTTCCTCCCTTACTCCTGCTCTGGCTGCTCTCTGGGACACAGGACTTGGGGGCTAACGTTCTACTGTCCTTGAACTGTCATGAGCCGTAAAGCAGAGGATATATGCAAAACGCTTAGAGAGTCCAGGGCTGACGGCCACTATTACCTCCCAACCCTCAGTGACCTCATCTGTGAAATGGGGTCTCTAATTCCCACCTGCTCCCGTGGGGAGGGTAAATGGATGCTGAGTGACAAGGGGCTGGCCCTGAGAGGCCTGCAGTTTGTGGAGTCCCTCCTTGGCTTCACTCAAGACCTTGACTGACGTGGACATTGCCAGGGCAGGCGTAAGTCAAGAACACACAGGGTCTGAAAAGCTGGGCTGGGCCTAAGGTCACACTGGAAGAGGGAGGCAGGAGTGTGCGGGCCAGCTGGCCTTCAGGTCTGGTCCAATTCTTAATGCCCTTGACACGACACTTCATCTCCATTTAGGAGGATTGGAAAACGTGCCAGTCATTCCCCATGTGACTTTCTAGGTCAGAGCTGAAAATACCTCTTCTCCATAATAAGGTGAAGCCTTGCGCTGTCCATTTACTCTCGGTTAAGGAGCCTGCAGGCCAGCAACTGAGTTTTTAAAATAACAGAACTGAAGAGCAGCATGCTTCCACGGAGGTGCCCCGCTGCCGTGGCAAGCAGCCGAGGGCGAGTGACTGGAGAAAAGCCTGTCAACTCCCAGCGCTGCTGGCTTACACCTGCGTGCCCCGAGCAAAGGGCCCACCTTCCCAGCACCTCAATGTTCTCATCTGTAGAATGGGAAGGATGCTTAACGCCCACCCCTCCAGGCTGCATGAGGAGTGTGCCAAGTGCACACGTAATAGACGCTGTCAGTGTGAGCCCACGTCCCCAGAGGGCTTTACTATTTCAGGGCAACAGTAATGATACCCACTGGTACTGCTACTATTACTTTACTGTTGTTGTCCCAAGCAGACCTTGGGACCTGGGCTGAACTTGGGGACAGGCAGGGCAGTCTTGAAGGCAAAGAAGAAAGGCCGCTGGAAGGACTTCGTCTCCCTCCCTGAGAGCAGCCCTGCAGAAGCAGCCTTGTTTGGAGCTGGAGGCTGTTGCTTACCTGCAGTGGACCACAATGGGCCCGGCCTCGGGGGGGTTCAGGAACTTGACCTGGCGCACAAAGCCCAGGAGGCCGGTGGCATAGCAGGGGACGCCATGGTCGGGCCAGCTGGTGAAGTGGAAGAGGCGGAGCTCCCGGATCTCGTGGTAGCCTTTCTGAGGAGAGAAAGGGCCTCTGTTCCTCCAGCTGTCACCCCCACATGCCCGCCCAGCACCCACAGGGAGCACGGCTGCCGCACGGAGGAACCAGCCTCCCTGCCATCAGGGAGGGCAGGACCCTGCCAGGATGAGCAAGGGTTGCCACACAGGGTGACTCCTGTGATCTGTTGTGTCTGGGAGCCGTGGAAGTAGATAATGTAGAGGTAGTGCCTTTGCTGCAGGACTTCTCAGAGCCTTCAGTGGGCTCATGTACATTCTCCATCCCCAAGGGGGCGCTATAACACACCCACAGTGTTTGTCCTTTTGACAAGGGTGTCATAGGACTTCTATTCAGCAGAACAGACTCAGAGAAAGGTTGGTCTTAAATACCAAGTTCAAGTCATTTCCAGTGGAACACAAGGCCTTTCAGTGACTGGGGTCTGCTTCCCTCACTGTCTCCATGGCTTTCAAATTAAAAAAAAAAAAACACGTGTCGGACTCCTCTATTAGATTCTTATTTAGAATTATAAGACAGGAAACAAACAAAAGCAGAGCTTCTCTGACTGATGGGGGCACTGGGGCCTGGGGCTCTGGTCCTACCATTCCTCACTGACACCCTGCAGGCGAAGGGCACTTCTCTGCCCAGTCTGTAGTCAGGTGTCACCTCGGGGCCTGTGCTTATGCGGGGCCCCTACCTACTTTCTCCTACCTTGCAATCTCCCGCAGATATGCAGAGAGCACCAAATAGGAAGAGTGTTTGATCATTCTTTCAATTAAGGAAGATTCACCGAGGGTTATCTGTGCCAAGCCTTGTGTTAGGCACTGTGAAGGCAGAAACAAAAGCCACAGTCCTCTTCCTGGAGCAGCTCATGGTCTAGCTGGAGAGGCAGACTCCTAAGTGGATAATCCTATTAAAGTGCTTAAAGGAGCGTCAGATAACCCCACCTGGGGAAGGAGAAATCAGAGAAGGCTTCCTGGAGGAGGTGATGCATGACCTGAGTCTTGAAATACATTAACAGTGAAAATAATAGCTAACATTTATTAAGCACACACTGCATGCCTGTTACTTTTCTGAACATTTCGGTGTATTAACTCATTTAATCCTCCCACTAGTCCTTATGTTATCTGTTTTACAGATGAGGACATTGAGGTTAAGCCAGGTTAAGGAACACAACCAGGTCACACAACTCGTGAGCTGTAACCCAGTCTGGACCCTGGCTGTCGGCCCCCACAGTCTGCACTGCTAGTCACTATGACACACTGAGGTCTGAGTGTTGCCCAACAGAAGAGATGGTGGAACTCAGAGTCCAAGAGGCAGCCCAGGCCACGGCACGTGCACAGAACCACAAACAGGGTACCCCCAGGAGGCACTGGGGGAGTGCTGGCTGCTGGAAGGCCTTGCATCTCACACCGGGTCTCGCTGGGGAGCTCTGGGGAGGTTGCCCAGAGGGGAAGTGCATCATCACACTTGTATTCTGGGAGGACTGTGTTGGCTGCTATGTGCAGCCTAGAGTTGAGTGGGTATGTTGGCGGGCAGTGCAGAAGGCACTGATGGTGCCCTCCCAGATCCCCTTTCCTGGGCCAGGGCCCCCATCCCCAGCTCCCGAGTCTTGGCTGCAGACACCCACAGCTCCCCCCTTCTTCACAGAATTGCTCAGCCACCAGGAGCTGCTTCCCCTGGCGGTGGGGCTGGGGGTGGGTAGCTGGCATTCAGGGGCTGACGGGACAGCAGGGTGACCAGCTGACTTGGTGAGTCTGCCCAGGGCTGAGGGGTTTCCTGGGACATGGGACTTTTGGTGCTAAAGCCAGGATGGCCCTGGGCATACCAGGACGTTGCGTGACGCTAATGGAGGAACAGAGGACTCCTTTGCCTCGAGACAGGATCAGCT